CATATAACTATAAAACTCTTTTACATTTAAAATCCTATAATTATAGTTCTTTAAAACACTATAGCTAGATTTGAATAAAGTGAATTTCTTTTAAAATAAATATAATATATAGGGTACACGTCTATGTTTATTCAGATAAAAAAAAAGTTTAAAAGTTGATAAAATTTTACTTACATATATAATGAAGTAAACCTACATGCTAGAGAACGAAACATTACAAAAATTAGTCAATATTCAAAACAAGTTATTTTTTTTCTTTTTGAAAAATATTTGTTTGAAGAGTCAATTTGTATAAATTGACATCAAACAAATAACAAAACGTTGGCTATACAATTGCTAATCATTAATTTCTATTTAACACCTTCTAGGAATTGAAGAGTATAAGCTGAAACCTCTTCATTTAGCTGCAGTCAAACCAACATTGCAAGGGTATAGTATTTTTTTCGTTGAAGAATATTAGTTTTGAATCATTAGATTATGTGAAATATTTTTTTCTCAAATTCAACAAGAGGGATATTAGTTGCTAATTGATAGTTTCTATAGCGATTTTCAAGTGTAATAAAAAGTATATTTAAAAAATAAATGGTATGACGTGAAATAGTTATTTTTAAAATGTAAAATAATTATTTCAAAATGGAATTTTTTTTAAAAAAATTATAATATAATTTACAAAATAAAAGATAAGATATTTTAAAACTTTAGTAGAGAGTTTTTAAAATAATTGTAATAGAAGTCATATCATGGATAAAATCAAGAAACCGGAATCTTATGGATTATTACATAAATATTCAGGCAGATTTATTGTTTACTTTTTATAGCTAATATACATAGATGATATATCGACAACACACGATTATACACATATTATATATGAATTATATATAAATTACACATCCTCAATTTTTTAATTTAAGTGGTTGGGTGAGCACCTGTTTAGGTTGATAAGATAAAGGCAAAAGAAAAATATGACAGAATTTCAACCAAAGACTAAAAATATAAATAAAGTTTTTATGTAGACAAATTCTATTAAAACTCATCATTTTATTATGAAATAAATTATTTTTTTGTAACAAAAGAAAGAAAGAAAGACATAAAAAATAAGATAAAAGAAAATAAATATAGAAAAAAATGTATGAAAAATCTAAAAACTAGAAATAAGAGACGACAACGAATTTCTTCTTCTGTTTCATCTTTGTTGAGTAAAAACAATTTGGAAGCCGATCTCATCGATTTCAAATATTCTTTTCAACTCAAATACGTAGATTATAAGATAAGGATATCTTAAAATAATTTTTTATTTACATTGTGTCGTTTTTAAAAAAATACTATTACTAACAAACTGATATGATATTCAAATTTGAATTTAAATACAATTTAAGTAGTTTGCATTGAAGTTAAGCTAAGTATGGTGTCGAGAAAAAATTACTTGGCAATTTTAAGACAATATATGGAATGTTATATAATAACAATCAATTAATCCAACATTTAATGATTCAAATAACAAAAAATATGTATATGCAGTGTATTCAAAATTCAAAATTTGTGGCTAGAGATATTGATAAACTCAAAATGGAGTCATATTGAAATAAAGTTTCACCGGCCAAAGAATTATTTAAATTTTTAGATAGCCGATTAAAGTGGATTTTAAATTAAGGATAATATCTTCATGTGCATCATTATAAAGATAATAATTATTGAAAAATATATAATGTTTTAGAAATTAAAATTTCAAAATAGAAATAATTTTTTAAAACATAATAGCATACCAAATAAAATTCAAGTCGTAGTAAAACTGTAAAAGAGTCACGTCGTAACCAAAGAATCGTTCATATTGTGCCAACCTCCTTGTGCTTTGCCATAGCTCATAAATACGAGTTATTATATCGCTTTGTGATTATTTTTAGGTTCCAATGATACCAATAAGAATGGTGCAAAAATAATATTATCACTACGAGAATTGAAAAAATGTTAGCCTTTTTCATGTAGTGTTTCTTAATTAATATCTAACGATTATCTATAATTATCTAGAAAGTTTAAATTTTAAGGTCAAATAACTCAGATATTTAACATGGTTAATGTCAAATATCAAAATGGAGTCATACTAGGAAAAAAAATCATTGGCTAAAGAATTTTTAAAATTTTAGATAGCCGACTAAAATGAGTTTTGAATTAAGGATAATATTCACTTATATTATTATAA